GGTGGGCCGAGCCGAGTGAGGAACGGCCGTTCGGAGCGTTTGCCCCTTTTCTGCTGAAACTAAACCGGTTTTTCTGCCGGTGCCCCGGCCGAGGAGCCGCGTTCGCGCTTGGCGGCGACGCGTTGCCGTGGCCCGGGCACGGCTGCAGCCTGAACCCGGTGCCGCGCTGCAGCGCTCGGGAAATCGCCTCAGTAATCCTGGGCCAGCTGGCCACGGCCACCTCCGCCATAATCCGCCTCGTCTGGTTTTAACTCTTGCAGAACCTGCTACCGGTTGGCAGAAAACCTAAACGCCCTCCTTTATCCATAGGTTGCTCGGGGTGTCTTCGTCACATACGCATTGATAGGGCTGACTTGGAGAGCCCTGCAGAATCGTCAGCCCAAATCAACTGATTTGACTGAAATTGCTTTTTTTAAAAAAAAAAAAAGACATTTTGTGGACATTTAGACGTAGTTCATGTATCACACGTCGGCAGCCACATATCTGACCTTAGTGGCACTCCTTTGTACACCCGTTGCCCCTCACCCTGGAAAAAAGAGTAATTCTTATGCATTTTACATCTCCATCAGGATGAGATCCGATCAGCAGCTCTTTTAGAGGGTTGCGGTGGAGGGAGTCAGTGGAGAGCAAGCCCCAAACTCTCAAGGTGCTCCGTGGTTCTTCAGCTTTCCATCGCTTGGAAATGTCTGATCTTTCTGTTCTCCCGATGCAGGAGATGTACAAAGTCTGTAAATGCTGATGCTGTCAGTAGCTTTAGAGGGTGGATTCCACTGTTGTTAATTTCTGTTTAGCAGAAGGCATTTTGGATTAAACAAATGTTTAACTGGGGAAAAGTGAGGATTTTTAGGGTAGTTGCAATCACTTTATCAGCATATCAGCATCTAATTTCAGTGTTGTCCGTACAAACAAGATGCTGTTGACTTCTGTGAAGATGACCAATGTGGTCAGTGGACAGGCAAAAAGATGACAGACATGAAGATCTTTCTTTTGACACGTTATATCTTAGCTTGGAAGTGATGTTCATGAAACTGTAGCACTGACTGCACTAAGCATTTATGTGTTCTGTCTCAATACTTAGAAAGTATGTTTTCTGTGTTTGAGAGTAACCTTTTTTATTAAGCAGCAAACACGGTTACATTTTCTTTAAAATTCTTTCCTTGCATGCATTATGTTATTTAAATGTGCCGGATTTCTGCAAAAGTTTTTTTGAGATTGTCTTTGACAATTTGAATTAATATAGTCTGAAATTTCTTCTTCTAGGTTTTGACAGAAGCTTGTCTCTGAAAGACTGGAAAGGAATAAAGGTCAGAACATTTTAATTTGTTTAATTACACTAATCATTTTTCAGGTCAAATAAATCATTATTAAAATAATGCAAGTAATACTGGAAACTTAAATTTCAATAACTGGGAAAACAACCTCACAGAGCTGTCCAAGTGAGGCTGATAAGACTCCTGAATCACGGTTAGAAAATTCATTCTCTGTGAGTGAGAACACACATAAAGTGTTTCTGCACTAGTGAGCCTCAAAGCAGTTCTGTTAGTAAAGGTTTTTAACATAAGTAAGTTTGAAATTGTGACTAAGAATTAACTCACGTGACTGACTGCACTGTAGGCTGTTTGATAGTGGGCTGTAAACTGTTCTTATGTGGCTAAAAAACTGCTCTGAGGAGGTAGAGGGCTATTGTTATGCATTTAAAGTGGTGTCTCGTGCTGCATATTTGAATAAGAGATACATTCTCTATTTTGTTAATTTATTTTTTAGAACATAATGACTGCTTTGGATGATAAACTGCTTGGTGAGAAGCTCCAGTATTATTACAGCAGCAGCGAGGGGGAGGATGAAGACAGTGAGAAAGAAGATAAAGAAGGCGAGAGCAACATTCCTGAAAGCGTTGGGGAAGTAGAGCTTAGCAGCGATGGCAGTGCAGTCAACACAGGTATCATCATATCAAACTAATTGTTTTGTAAATACTTTGTTTATTGGAAGATTCACGTGTTTTTCTAAAATTCATTTTTCACAATGAAAGTCCTGTTTTTATGCATACTTGAGTCAGAGATTGATCATTTCCTGGCTGTAGTCTAACCTTATTTTTAATAGCCAGTTCTTTATTTTAATGTTTCACTTTGCCTCTGAGAGACTTCGGCATTATATCTAAAGCAGTTAGGCTTTGCATACAAAGCTGATTTGTACAGTTTGGTTCATAACGCATAAATTTCTTTCCTGTAAGCTGCACAGTTGTTAACCGCTGACAGGTGGGTGCTGAACAACTACATGAGGAACAGACAGAAAGTGGCCAGGCTTTCCCAAAACACCATTCTCTAGTGCCACTGTCAGAGACAGTACTGGTCTGTGTGGATCACTGGTGTGATCCAGAGGGTATTTCTTATGTTCTTATGAAAGACTGGCCCTCTGTGTTGTACGGTTTCTCTAAGAATGATGAAAAATCTTCTTCCTGCATGTGTTCACATCTTTCACCTGAAGGAAGAATGGAAGAATTATACTACTAAACTGCTATGCTTACAGAGGACCTGAAAAAGCAACTCCACAGGGCCCCAGCAGCAAAGTAACACCAAGGTGCAGTCTGTAAGAATTAACACTATTGTACATCACAGAATGTACTTCTGTACAAAAGCATTGGCAAACTTAATCATACTTTCCCATCATTATTTTTGTTCTTATGAAAAGCCATGCTAACAGTAGGGGAATTCTTGAGCGCTGGTGGTTCTACTTCAAGAGCACAAATGCTAATCTTCGGAATAATCTTTGGGACCATTATGAGAGTAGCCTAGTTAGATAATCTTTAGTCTTCTTAGGAGAAAAAAATAGATACAAGCTCAAGGACATGTAAAATGGCAAATTACTTTCATTTCAACATTTTGCACAGTATACAAAAAGTTTATGACAGCGCCACTATTTTACTGCTGACTTATTACTTGACTTTTAAATGATAGGTGTAATTTTATTACCCTTTTATACAAAATGCCTACATATTTAATTTCAGGTCCCAAAGGAGTCATTAACGACTGGCGAAGATTTAAACAATTGGAAACTGAACAGCGGCAGGAGCAGCGCAGAGAAATGGAACGACTCATAAAAAAGTTATCTATGACATGTAGATCTCACTTAGATGAAGAGACTGATAAGCAGAAGCAGAAAGAGCTTCAGGAAAAAATCAACGGAAAGGTAGCATGGCACAAATGAGTTAAAATGCCACTTAAATGTTTAACATTTTCAGTTTCATCATTTGTGTATGTGAAGCAGATAGGAGTCCTTGTTCTATCAGTAGATATGTATCGTTTCTCCCTAGTAAACAGGAACACAGCAGCAGTGTAAGAGGTGCATTGTAATTGTATTTGCCAGGTGTTGCCAAGCTTAGTTATTCTGCATTTCAGTGGTATTCCAGGAGCATTGCATTTGCCTGTGTTAAGAAATAAGCGACTTAGCTGCTATACCAAAGAAATCCAAATCCTTTTCCCAGATTTCCCTTATCTGTTTATCAAATAAGTCAACTTCAAGGGATTAATACAAAGAGTTGTACAGCAAACCTATGAATACTGCCTTCCATGCCTAAAACAAGAGTTTAGGAGTCCTTACTGATTTCGTATTTAGTAAGTGGATGTTGAGAATTTAGTTTTGACTTTGAGCTACAAAGATAGAAGGCGTTGGAAGTAGTGAATGGTTTTAATCAACTGAGCTGTATAACTAGCTCTTACGGTTCTCGTCAGAGAAGTTACTAATTAGCAGACAGCATTTCTTGCTTTCAGCTGATGAGAGTTGGCCACACTGTCCTATACATTGAGTGATGCAAATATTTTTAACAAAGCAGGTGAACGGATAGGAAATGCGTAAAATCCTGTTAACTTTTGTTCTACAGACAAGATAGCGCATTTGGTTACCAAACAGTGTTAACTGAAAAACTAAACGAAAAAGCTAATGAAAAAGAAGCTAGACTTAGATCAGGCATGGTATCCAAATCAGTGCTCATAGCTTAGTGAACCACCATTAACCTGAATTAAAGTGGGAGCACAGAGCAGCCACTTGTGTTACTAGTGCAGCTTGTGGAAACTGGAATACCCAAGGCTGAAATCGCTTTTCCCACTAGACATGGTTTCTAATTAGATCAAAATGGAGTATAATACAGAGGGTGCTTGAGCCTTCATGGCTTGCACTTTGCTGTTATTAAAGATGAGTGACCCATATTAATCCTCTTGATTTAAATTCTCATTATATAAGTGACCCATATAGTGACGCAGATCTTTTTCATGTATCTTTGTACATGTTTTTTAGATGACATTACAAGAATATAACATGATTCACAATGATGAAGATGATGAGGAATTTTTACAGCGATACAGGAAGCAGCGAATGGAGGAGATGAGACAGCAGTTGTACAGTGGGCAGCAATTTAAACAGGTTTTTGAGATTACCAGTGGAGAAGCATTTTTGGACACAGTTGATAAAGAGCATAAGAGCACACTGATCATGATCCATATTTATGAAGATGATATCCCTGGCACTGAATCCCTGAACGGCTGTATGATCTGCCTGGCCGCTGAGTATCCGACAGTTAAATTTTGCAGAGTAAAGAGTTCGCTCATTGGTGCTAGCACTCGCTTTACTAATAATGCTTTGCCAGCTTTGCTGATCTATAAGGCAGGTGAGCTCATCGGCAACTTTGTGCGAATCACTGACCAGCTTGGAGAAGATTTTTTTGCTGTAGACCTGGAGGCTTTTCTTCAGGAATGTGGTTTGCTTCCAGAAAAAGACCTAGTGCTCCTGACTTCTATACATAATCCATCTGCATGTTACAGTGAAGACAGTGATCTGGAAATAGACTGAACCACTTACACCAAGGGCCATTAGGTGTAGTTGTACTGTGGGACGTTCTTGTGCTAGGGATCATGCTCTTTCTTCCGTAGTGTGGGTATGTATTCTTCCCCTTCATGCACTTTGACTTTTGCTCGTTAAAAATTTGTTAAAAATACTATAAGGAATTCCTAACGTTTTCTTAAATTAATTCAATAAAGTACACACTAAAACAGTCTTGCTTTTATGCAATTCAAATGTATTTTACTAAACATGAAGTTCTAACACAAGTCGGTGAGTCTAGGAAATTGTGTGTTCTCATCTCTGTTCTCCAAATCACTTAGATTTTTTTTTTTTTTTTTAAACATTTTGTTCTCAGATCAGCTGTGTATGGTCAGTCTCCTTACAGGTTTCCTGAAATTGTGTAATGTGAATACCAGTTGGATTGAGACATGGCCACCTACTCACTAAGACAAGAATTGAGACTGCAAATTTTATAAGCATTCCAGACTTATTATTAACCTGGAGTTGAACTGCTGCCAGTTAACAGTGCAAGGTCGCATCTTCCATTCCCCAATTTGCAGTCCCCGTTTTGGAAGTACCTTCTTGTTCCAACACTTGGCATCAAATATTTGTTCCTTTCTCACTTAAAAATAACAACTGCCCGTGAATTCATCCTGAGAATGACTTCAGCTGGAGAGAGTTCTTCTTCCTTTAACCTTGCCTGAGGCTTAAATGAGAAAGTCTTCTTTCAGTTACAGTTCTTAATACATCCTTGGGTTTTAAAATACCTACCCTTAGAGTTCATAGTAGTTGCTTCATCATAAAATGATCTCTGCCTTCTAAGAGAGAGACTGTCTATTATCAAGACCTCCAACATGTGTGCTGAATAGCATCAAGGAGAATTTTGTTGGCAAAATGCAAAATTAGGACTTGAATAACCTCGGAAATTCGTATCTCTGTAAAATGACTATATCAGTGCTAAAGTTCATTTTTGTCTGCCTTCATATTACCTGCCTCAGCTGGGTTATCAGATGTATTTTGAATATTAATAACTCCTGGACCTAACAGATGACTGGATGGCTTTGTGGGAAAGCAGCCTTGAGCCAGTAGAGCAGGTCACCATTAGAGGAGTTCAGTAGCAGGCCCATTTTTTCACAGCTGATTCCCTTTTCTGAAGCTCAGTATCTAGTTTCTGCACAGAGTGTTCAGCAGGATCCAAAAACATTGCAACTGTCCTGGTTTTCCTCTGAGGGCAGCTCCTTGGGAGCACGTTTTTTTGTACCATGGATCAGTGGAGTTCACTAACAGAAAAAAAATCTTGTGGGGCAGGAGTGAAACCTTTGTGGAGACTGCAGTTTTTCCTTCTGTCCTTTGTAAGAAATAACAAGTAACAAAGGCCTGCTCAAAAGCATCACGACAGCTGTTTCTGTTGCCTAGTGACACTGATCTTAAAGTTCTCATCTTCCCCAAAAACACAGGGTGACTCCCACTTCTGGACACTGGGTAAAAGCCATCCAGCACTGGCTGAGTCCATTTGTCTCTTTATGAACATTATTGCTACCGAATGGAGCAGCTGCACATTAAGCTTCCCTCTTGCAGCACCTTTGTCATTACCATTTATTTGTCAGTGATTACATTTTCATTAAGGTGTGTTTGTTTATTTTGTTTGTGCTCTACTTCCTTCATAAATCAGACATAATATGGGGAAGTAGTTTTCAGGGTTTCTATTACAATGAAGTTCACCCTGCCTCCAGCGAGTCTGGTGCTATGTAGCTGTGAGATAACCTGGGTAGCATTTGAAGCCATTAGCAATTTATAGCGAATGCAAGCACAAAAACCTCTGATGATGCAGAATGAGATAAAGGCTTTATTGGCCAGATTATGGGGTGGCTGAATTGCTCAAACAATGTACCTAGCACAAACGAGCCCATTGAATGTGTGCACTCTATACCTAGTTATTATTTAATTGTTTTCTGCATACTTAATTTGATATTACAACATGTTTGCTTTCTCACGCATTACTTATTTTGCTTGTTATTTTTTAATTTTGAGGAAAGTAGACTATCATTACCTAAATACATGACCCAATGTAATGCCATGTTTAATGATTAAATTTAATTGCAAGTTTTATGTAAGGCACTTTAGAACACCAGAAAGAAATGCAAATGTCTCTGTGTAAGCACTAGGTTCTTAATAAGAACGGATCTTATGATAAAAAAAGAATTTTAATTGTATCTATTAGAACTGTGTTTTAAAAAGTAGTATAAGCAGAAAAATAAATAATTTGTAATTAAAAATTACTGGATTGGCACAAATTGTAGCTGTTTTAAGGAGACTTGCAGAAATCCAGATTTAAAATGTGGTAAGAGATTATTTCTTTTCATCTCAGGACTGCAGAACTAAAACATGAAAGTTATATGAAATTAAATCATTGAGCATGGATATCAGCACATTTAAGAAAAAAAATCAAAGTAGCTGTAATTTATATTCAGGATGAGATTCAGTGAAGTGTGTCGTGCAGACAGAGTGCACATTAGCATTATAATAAAACCTGGCTTGGAGAGGGGGTCGAGGAGAGCTGACTGCTTCCATTGCTTTGAAGTTTTATTTTTATAAAGTGTTTTTTTAACCCCTGTGGCAGCAAAACTGTAATGGGATCAAAACCTCTCCTGCTGCTCTATGTCGGATGGCCTGCAGCAAGGTGACTCCTGGTTATTAATCTCCCATGCTCAGGTATATGACAGATGGTTTACAGTGCCAATAGCAAAAAGGAAAAGAAAAAAGGTCTAAATCCAATTAATCATCGATCTGGAAGAATATAATAAGCACAAGGGAGAGGGGGAGAGGGAGAAGATGTGCTATGATGCTGCTTCTGATTCTCAGCACAAGCAGCCCAACTGTGAGAAGGAAGGGGAGGCTGGCAGCGGCTGCAGAGAAGTGTCGCTGGCCGTGCTGGGTGCTGCTGCTGATGCTTTTGTCCATTCTTGTAGCTAAATCCTTCCAAACTGACCAAGCATGCCCTAAAATATCCCAGAATTCTTAATGGGCATTAAACAATGTAACAAAGTAAAACTAATTTAGAATAGGTCAGCTACTAATTTGTGAGTGTCTGTCCCCTATCCATTCAATACAAATAAAAACTACAACTCATACCAACACTGTATCTGTAAATGTTTTGGTTGAAGTGTTAAAGTCTGCTTTATTTCTCTAATTTTGGATGTGATCCTGACCTGCAGATTAAGAATTGGGGTGTATTTATATACCTATACGGGGAACTAAAGTGAAAATTAAATTGTATGAACACCCACATACGATAAAACTGTTTTGAAACATCCAACTTGGCATCGAGAGCTTCAGGTTTTTGGTTTGATGCAGGTGCCTCTCCTTCCCCCAAAGCCATTGTACTCTCACTGTCAGAACTTCATTTAAATTGATGCATTCCTACTAAATGGTTTGGTTTTCAGTAAAGGATGCTTTTTAATTTTGTCAAAGATGTTTCATCTATCTTTTCTGGCACAGCAGCTTCCCTAGCATGTAACATGGTTCTTGGCAGAAAGCTGATAGATTGTGATAGTGGGTTTTGGTACTGTGCAGGGCTCTGGTGCGGCAGGTGGTAGAAATTAGTCAACTCTGATGGCTGAAGGGGCTGTACGCTCAAATACTTTGTCACTAGCCCTTACCTTGCCTTGGCCAAGTGTTCTGCATGCTGCTAGACACCAGCTGAAGTTAGGGAAGAGTTGATTTGCGCAGCGACTCTCCCTGGCTGTTGAGGGGCAGCTCCCTGTGCACCTCCTGAAAGGGTTTCTGTTTTCTGGACAGGCAGTGCAGGCAGCAAAGCTGCGGGAAGGAGCGTCCAGAGGCAGCACGCAGCCATGAACCTGGGCAGGTACCAGCCTGCGAGTTTATTGCCCTTGACATCTCCTGGTTGTTTCTTCCCGCATCTCCTCTCACCAGTAATTCTGCAGCTTTTTTTAGTGCAGCTGATGGAATTGGTCTGAGATGCAAACATCGCTTGTGAAAGGGCAAGGGAGCCTGGAGTCCTGGTGCAAAGTGACCAGAGTCACCTTGTCTCGTACTGGCAGAGCTGTGCAGGCGTTGTTCGTGTTTTAACAGTATTCAGGTGCAATTCTGCCAGCATCTAAAAGCCACAAATAAAAGCAAACCTTCTTAAATATATTCGTTTCAACAGGACAAGAGAGCTCAGAAAGAAAGCAGCTGGTCCTGGAAAATAAGGTCAGTATTTATCGCCTTTAAAAGTTTTGAGACATTTACGCTAGTTGTATATCTAAAATACAACTATAAGTGAACATGTAGTTAAGATCCAACAAACAAGCCTTCCTCCCTGAGATGTTACGTGCTCTGTCTTTGCTGTCTGTCCTTTTTTTGTCCCGTTTTCTATCTGCTACTTCTCAAGCTGCGTAGGACAAACGAGCAGGCATGGCCCAGGTGGATTTGGCTCTTCCTGCAGGTAGCGGCTCTCTGGTCGGTCGGTTTTGTGCGTCACCTTGGCTGCAACCTGGTCTGGTTTCTGTGATACACCCTTCAGATCAAGAAGGTACATGTACCAAGTCTGAGTCATCTCTGTGTCTGATTTTAATCTTCAAGAAGTACTATAAATAGGAGTTGAAAAAACACTTGTCAGGTAGGTTGTTTTGCCTCTGGGAAATGTTTTGGTTTGGAAAAAGCAGCCTACTGCAGAGAGGGCAGCCAGAAACAAGGGTTTTTACAGGAGGGCATAATTCTGCACTGGGAGAGAGAAGTGTAAAATCACCTGGGTTTGTTCACTTTTAATGATGTTCCAATACAAACAACAAAAGTTGGCCACAGAATGCAAATGCACAAGGAAATGCAGACAGCTGCTCGGCGAGGGCAGGAATGAAATCACGGGATGAGCTTAACGCAGGCATTTAATCATGGTGCTGACCTGGGTGCCAGCCAGTAAGGGACAAGATTTAGAAAAGTTTATACTGCTTTTTTTTTTAGGGCCAAATCTACCTCTTCTTTCTAAAATGTTCAAAATATGCCTTTGCTGAAAATCTAAATAAATGTTGCTGTGCAATCGCTGGTGTGATTCACGCCACAAAGGGGCCTGCTGGGGTGGGCTCGGGGGAATCCGGGTGACTTATTCAGACAGGGGACTGCTTTTCCATTCAACCTGAAGGCCCTGCTTATTTGTGCCACCATAGGGTTTAGATAACTTTCCGTCGTGGATCTTGATCAGGTGCAGGGCTGGAGGGGTACGGGCTGCCCAGAGAGGGAAACCCCGGAGCAGCTGCAGCCCGGCTGCAACCTCTGCCCTTCCCTCTAACCGGAGGGACCACTTTACATGAAAAAGCATTGCAGACAATTGATCTTACTTGTACAGTCCTCTCCGGTCAGCAATAACCTCCTGCTCAGTGAATCATCGCTTAAGAGGTCGCACAACCACAGACAGATGTTTTCATTGTTGCTGCTCACGCCACACAAACACAGGCAGCACCGTCCTCCTGTCGACATCCATCCCCGTGTGGGCAAGCTGCAGCTGGGCTCCCTGGAGGCACTTGTTTAAAAAATCAAAGGACGTCCTATGAGCTGTGTTTACCAAGAGCTCAAACAGAGGGTAAGTCTGGCAGCACTCGCCTCTGCGCCATCCCCAGAGCTCACAGTGGTGGGGGATACTTGGAGCCCTTGCCCCAGTTGGGTGATGCTGGTGGATGCACCAGACTAAACACCCAGTTTAGATGCAAACCACTGTCTTCTACCTTGGATGTGGCTGCGCACTGTGATGGAGAAGCTGGTGAGGATGTGAGCAATTTCTACAAACTGCCATGGCTGAAAGACTAGCAAAGAAAACACAAGGGCTCGGCAGTGCTGGGCTGGGGGAAGCTCCATGTGCGGGGCTGTGGGTCCCCAGGCTCATGGAGGAGGAGGTTTCAGTAGCATGTTGGAGGCTGTGCCTGGGGTTGGTATGTGTTGGTCCTACAAAGAAACAATTTCAAAGCTTTTCCTGAGGGCGAGGTGCAGGAGGAAGATGCTTTGCTGTCCTGGACACTGCCATGTGGGAGCTGGTGGCACAGCTGGAAGAGATGTCAGGTTTGCCAGTGTTGGCTCAGCTGAGCTAGTTCCTGGTGAGACATTCCTCCTTGGTGGCAGAGAGCATCTCAGCAGCTCTCTGTGTGCCTGATGGGCTCTTGTATGCTTATCGGTTGGTACCAAAACAGCGCTGGCAGCCTTCGATAGCTACAAACAAAAGCAGGATGTTTGTGGTCTAACTGAAAAGAGCCGAGCTTGTGCCTTTAGCCAGATGGTGAAGGATGCTCGAGGCTGGAGCAGCTCAGCACAGCGCAAGGGCTGTCAAACGCTTATTTTGGAAGTGCTCCAGCTGGCTGGAGGCACGGGGCATGTGGATCCCAGTGTGGATTCGTGACACGCTGACAGTCTTTGGACTCTGTGTTGCTCTGCATTTGCTGCTGTTTGCCTTTTTTTTTGAGTGTTGCGTTGCTGGCTGAGCGAGGGAAGCGCAGTGAGGTTGTGGTCCTCGGTGTGTGTGGGGGGATGTTGGTCACAGCCCAGGGTACAGCCGGTGGCAGGGCAGACCCTGGGGGGACAGACCCCCACCACTGCCACGTAACAAGCTGTCGGCGGGTATTCGTCATTTTGGTACCTGGGCACAGCATCACCACCACGCGCTGGCTTCCCAGCCTGAGGGGAAGGGAAGGGGAAAGCTGGAGAAAGGGAACTGTGGGATAGGAAAGGACCGTGTCCTCCTCTTGCCTTGCTGCTCAGCACTTCTGTACTACACGGTGCTGCAAGCTGCACAGGAGCGGTAGGACTGGGCTCTCTACGTGCTGGGACGGCTGGGCAGGACACAGGCAGGGCAGGGCCAAGCCAGGTGAGCACGCACCAGGCAAACCTGCCTGCTGTGCCTTCCTGGGTTGGGGCTGCCTCTCTGCCTTCTTGCGTACCATTAGGAAACAAAAATCCAGATGATATCCTGGTAAAACCATCTCATTTCTGAAGGGTTAAAGAGAGCAAGTGAGAAGGCTCTTGCCTTGGGACTCTCCACTTGCAGATGTTCCCTTGCTATGACATCCTCCTAATGCATCCCTGCCAAGGCACCAGCTCTTTAAATCTCCCTGGTTTCAAATTCCTGTAACATCTCCCTATAACTGGTTTTATTATTGCTTGGAAGTGCCTCACAACCCCCTCTTGATGAATTGGGATCATGACATACTTGGTTGATCAGGGATAAAAAAATCAGCTGGTGCGACCAGAAATGATTGAAACTTCCAGGGCAGAAGGTGGGACATCACAGGATTGTCACCCCGTCCCCAAATGGCCAACACTCCCATCCGTCCTCATCCCCCTCCTAGGGAATGGCAGCAGAGAGTATGGAGGGGGCTGTGTCTACCTGGATATATCTACCTGGAGATCCCACATCTGTTGTCCTCACCCTTGCCTGCCCCATACCTCACGTGCTGCCTGGTCCCAGATTTCGGGGCAGCACCCCGGACCAGGACTCCCTGCCCTGGTTCTCCTCTCTTCCCCTGTGGCTCTGTGTGATGGGCAGAGGAGCAGCTGGCAGTGCCTGTGGGGGGGTCAGGGTGGAGAACCCCATCAGGAGGGTCTAGCTGGGAGCAGTGCAGCCCCCATGGCCTCACGGCATGAAGTCACCACGCCAGCTGGAAGTCCTGCCAGGACAGAGCGGGAGCCCAGGAACGGTCCCCTCCTCCGGCTCAGCACAGGAGGAAAATGCAGCCATCTGCTCTCCTACAGACTGTGGCTATTTCATGCCTACAAAATACCTGGCCAGCAAGATTTAGATGTGGATAGATTTTATGTGATAGAAATACATAATGTTGGATGTAAGCACTGTGTTATCAGCATCGGAGCAGCGCAGTGCAGGGCTGTGGGGTGGTAGTGTCCGGAGGGCAGCGTAGATCAAACCTTCACAGGAGACTCGGGCTCAGAGCCCCCCCCATCGAAGCACCTCCTAAGGAGCAGGGTGACTCCGTTTATTCCTTGTGATGCAGCCAGCAATGACACAGCCTGCTGTGGCTGCATGGCCCAGCCGTGTCCCAGCGGGGACACCAGCCCTCCAGCAACGCTCCAGGGACTTCTCCTCTCCCCCAGCTCCTGCTGCCTCCCGAGCGTCCTGCCCTCTTGCAGGGCCTGGTGCTGGTGAGACAAAGCTTGGAAACTGGCTGGAGGAAATGAGAGGAGTTTTTTGAAATCATTTATTATTTTAAATGTCCATTTTCCTGGAGGTGAACCGGGATCTGATGGGGATCAAGGCTAGTGACAGTGGCTGCCAGCTACCACGTCATTATGTCGGCGAGGGCTGACATCTGCGTGCGTTTCTGGAGCGGGACAGAAGCGGGCTCTGTGTGCCTTGGGGATGCCATTTGCTGAGCTATTAACGCAGGGAAGGGTAACGATCGTAGGATGGAAGAGATTTCATCGCTGTGTTTGCACAGAGGTAGCATCTGCTCCGAGCAGCTCAGCGTGGGTGGCCGGCAAGTACGCGCCGGGGTCCTAGCTAGCAGGTGGGAGACGCAGGAGGTCTGGGAGGTCTCATCTGATGCTTCTCCTCTGGTCTTCTCCCGCAGAAACATTGCTTTGGTTCCTTCTTCTTGGCTGTGTCTCAGCTATGCCCGTGTGCTGGGCAGCCTCGGGAGGACGGTCCGGAGCGGCCGCAGGAGAAGCGGATCAGGACAGGTTCCTACGGCAAGCTCAGCCACTGCTGGGCCACCGTGACCACCTACAGCGTGTCCTCCCCGTCCGTCTGCGCGCTGCCACCTGCCTCCTCTGCCTCCCTTGGGGAGCTCAGTGCCTCAACCGGGTGCAGCAGAGGCGGAAGGACTGCAAGGGCTCCCTGGGCTCTGTGATCCTCCATCCGGAGCGGGGAAGCCCTGCGGAAGTGGGATTGCTGGTGGTCTGGTGCTGGAAAGCAGCAGGGGTGGAGGGTGACAAAGCACAGGGGAGTCCAGAGCGTCCCAGGGAGGTAGGCGTCCCCCGGGGAACCCCAAAGCTGGCTTAGTGCAAGGTATTCACTAGCAAGAGAACTGGGTCTGCTGAGGACAGCCACGCTCCTGAGGCACTTGAGCTTTTCACAGAGCTGGTACCAGCCTCTCCTCGAGGGCTGGTGTGGAGGATGCCCAGGATGGGACCATCTTCTGTCCTGCTCCTGCTCGGCACAGGGGTGGGCAGGTCCCCGTGTCCTCGTCGCTCCCTGTGGGAAGGAACGGGATATTCAGTGCCAGGCTGGGAGCTCGGCTCAGCCAGCGCCTGGGCAAGGATTGTCTCTACCTGGGCAGGCTGTCCCGGTACTAGAGCTCAGCAGATGATCCACCGCTCCGAGGGCTACCATGTTCCGCAGCATCTGGCACATGAAACGCCACGTATGGGCACTTCTTCACATTGAGGCACACGAGCTTCTCGAGCGATGCTGTCTTAACTATGTCAAAGCCAGTTTCTCCACCGAATGTACTGGGTTTCCAGTACTCTGGGGAGCAGATGGGGTTTCCAAGAAGCCCCTTCAGGGAAAACGGAGCTCCGATCTCCACCATGCTTTCCCCAAAAATACCATTGGGTTGGGGTTTCTCAAGCAGCAAGCCCGGATAAAACTCCAGAGCATCAATGTCTCCATACAACTCTTCCAGCTCTGCCGCCTTCTCTTCCTCTCCTGCACCAAGTGAATGTCAGAGTGCTTTAGCAAGGGAATGGCACCCGGCAAGGACTGGCCTTGCTGTGGGTAATGGGAACATGGCAGCTCCCATAACCCAAGCAGCAGCGAGCCCAGCTCCCAGGCCAGGCACTGCCCTCTGGACCACTCGTCCAGCCCCATAGGAGGAAGGACCCCTGCAACCAAGGCATCAGCCCTGTCTGCCCTCGTGCGAGGGTCACGACCAGGCAAGGCTTGGATGGGCAGGACCGGCTGCTCTGCTGGGCAAGCCCAGCGGCTGGGGAGCAACTCGTGGTCTCGTGCCGTCCCTGCGGGCGCAGAGCATCTGCACTGCCCCAGCGAAGCCCCGAGAGCTCCTGCGGCAGCACTGCAGCCCTACCTGTTAGCTCCTGGAAGGACTTGTAGGGCTTCATGCCAAACCTCTTCCGATACTCGTTAAACGGCTGTAGCCTCAGCTGCCGGGATTCCTTGATGACCCCAACGGCCACGTTCAAGACGTTGGCATTGATGGTTTGTCCCCCACCTATCTGGAGGGCAAGAACACAAGGAGGAGCACACGTAAGGCACAAGGCGGCACCAGCATTTGCTCCAGGGGAGCCACCACACTAAAGCTTCTGTGTCCTGGGCACGGTGTCATGCAGACCAGCACGTCATCGCAGCAGCAAGAAGAGGAGGAATCACTGGACAGTGCCAAAACAGCTGCGGAGCAGCTTGGGCTAAAGTCAACCCTGTTCACAACCCTGTTCCCTGTCAGGGAACGGTGCAGGGGAAGCCCCAGATGGACGGTGACGCGCTGGCCTGGGAGGAGAGGAGAGATCACAGGGGTTTGGGGTCAGGGAGAACACAAACACCCAAAGAGCAGCGGATCTGTGCCTCAGTCTTGTTTTGCACAAGCAAAGAGGGTGAGAAATGTAGATGTAATCGCTTGGAACAAAACATCCATGTGATGGCAGCAAAGAACAGTGCCAGCCAAGCTGCTCCTACACCCAGGCTGCTCCGCAGCCCGGTCTGGGCCAGGAGATTCCTCCCAGTTTACCGCAGACTCCAGGCATCACCGCAATGTTTCCTACAGAGTCCGAGAACAAGCAAACGGGGCTGCCAAAGCCCAGCCTTGCTACGATGCTTGTGGGGAGGACTTGCAACATGCCCGTCAGACATGTGTGACATACGACCCACTGCCCAAAGTGGCTGTTCGTTACTGCCGTAATGGCACTGCCTTCCCGGTACCGCGAGCATCCCTCCCGGAGTCCCACAGGCCCGGCACTGGCAGGGAGGGGAGAGCAGGACCTTACCCTTCCTGCAATCTGCTTGGAAAAGGATTCCACCAGCGCCTCCACGCCGTAGTCCAGGAGCATGGAGGTGTTGTAGAGGAACTGCTCGTAGCTGTACTCTTCCCCTTGGATGATGAAGGAGTCGGGCATCAGCCCGTGCCAGTGATAGAGCTGGTTGAACTCCACCGCGATGCGATTCCGGTACTGGAACTGCGTCCCAAACAGCAGCTCGGGGTCAAACTTGAGGCTGAGGAAGTACCCACTGAGGTGCTGGACGTAGTCTTCAATGACGATCTTAATGGTCTCCCCTGGGCAGGAGGCGAGAGAAGCAGCCGTCAGCTGGCAGCAGCCGGAGCTACCGGCTCTGTACCCAGATGATGCTACCCACCTGCTATGGCAGCGCATCCCAGCACCCATTCCCCACCCGGGACCTTTCTGACTATGGGCTTGTTGAGTTGGTTGGGAATTTTTCAGTGAATTATTTTTTCACCAGCAAAGGTCAGTCTGCCAAAACCGAAATAGTTCCTGAGGAAGCTGACCTTGATACGCTTCTTAGAGATAATGTGGTGACATGGCTTTTTTCTGGATTTTGGTCAAAAATGACTTATCATGAGATTATAGTAAATTTATAATGAACATTAAAATGAAATAATTCAAAATTATGACAAACTTATTCAAAATTAATTTTTTTGATGGACCAAAGGCAATTTTTGCTCTATGGACCAAAGCCAACGATCCCCAGAAGGCTGCCAGAGAAACTCCTCCAGCCTCTAAAGCCAGCCTGGCCACCACCCTCAAACAGAGACCAACTAACATCCAAGTCCTTGGGGCTTGCCCAGGCAGGTGGGACACAGGGCTCCACAGTGCCCATGCCCCACGGCACCACTGGTCCTCACCGATGAGGATGAGACGAGCCGTCTGGAAGAGCTGCTCGTCGCTCCAGGTGGGATGCTCCCGTTTCAGTATGTCACAGACGCGGTTGTGCTCGCGCAGCCAGAGCGTGGCGTACATGCAGAGCCCCGGCAGAAGCCCAAACACCTCCTGGCCCATCGCCAGCTGCTTCTCCTTGGGGATGCTGGACGGGTAGACCATGTGAACTGGAGCATCGGTGACCGTGGGGGGGTACACCTCTCCATCCACCACCTTGGGGAAACAAGAATGGGATGGCAGAAAGGGAAGAGGGGAGAAAAACCACTGCGGTGAAAGCCTGCCCGGCTGGGACCTGCCTCCCTACGGGCACCACGGCCGCTCTCCTGCAAGCGGTGAGCGGGACAGAAACACCTCCCTCATACAGACCCGACTGCGGAACGCCTGCTGCTGTCAGAGCAGCTACACCCCAAAGCTTGTCCCTTTGACGTGGCACCTCCGGCCAGCAGCCATGTGGGCATCAGGGCTGGGGTCCCTCAGGAGCTGCCAGAAGGACACGGGCTTCAAACAACCCTGGATCACAGGGCTGAGAGATATTTCAGTCGTACCTGGAATTTCAGCTTCCCATCTCTGAAGAGTCGCAGCTGGTGCTGCCGCTGCAGGTTGTCCCCATATAAGTGCCCAAGGTCCACCTGCCAAAAAAGCACGGCATCAAGGCTGCTCCGAAAGACCACGCGTGCACCGGTCCCCCTCCTCACTCCCCGCATGCCCCCTGCTCCAGCAGCCCTCACCCCATGCCCCAGCGCCTTGGTGAAGCCGCGTCCCATCTTCCCAGACGTCTTGAAGAACTGGTGGGTGAAATGCTGGGCGAAGAAGGCAAACATCAGGTTGGTGCCTTGGGGATCGGCTTCAAACTTCTGCCGCAGCAGGAACCTCTCTGCCAGGAGCTGGGGGTCGGGGAGCTGCTGCTTCCCTGCAAAGGATGGAGGTTGAGGGCAGATGCCCCGTGCCGACCCGGCTGGGTACCAGTGCTGGCCACGGGGCTGTCGGCAAGCGTTGCCATATCTGCTGCAGCACCAGGCACTGACTCATGGGCATAGACACCTTACAGCCCTCTTACACAGGCCACGACATGCCCCAGCTCAACCTGAACTGTCCCGGCAGCGTTTCGGATGCCATCAAGCTCCTCCTGCCCACAGGGCCAGCTTAAGCAGGACAGCGGCAGTCCATGGCACTGCCAGTGGTGCCTTGCAGATGTGCCCATGGCAGCGAAAGCTCAGGCATGGGTGGGTGCGAAAAACCGATGCCGCGCCGGTTATGGACCCGGGGTGCTGCTCCGGCGACTCAGCCCCATACTCGGCACGGTGCGGTCCCGGTCCCCCCGGGCGAGCCGTGTACCTTTGGTCCCCATTGGCGTTGGGCAGTTGTCTGGCACGGGCGGGAGGACACGGGTGTAATAGCTGACGTTGGAGTAAGCCTCCCAGCTGATGTAGCCGTAGTCAGAGTTGAAGGTGGGGGGGCTGGGGATGAGATTGGCGCGAACTGAAAGGAGAGATGGGGGTCACCACTGTGGGGCCTGGGGCATGGGGCAGCACCTCACAGACGCTGCCCCGGCCCCTGCCTGCCTACTCAGTGCTGTCAGACACCCTCCTCTGACACCTCAAAACCCAGAAAGGTACTGGCACTGGAGGCATGCAGACGTCCCAGGCTTTGTTCCGAGCCTTTTAAAGGCTGCAGTCCCCTGCAGAAGAGGAGGGCTCCTGCTAATGCACTGAGTGGATTCTTGGATGATGAATGACAACCACACAGAAACAGTAAAACCAACAGCTGGAGCCTTGCAAAAGTGTCGCTATGGCTCCAAGAGCTGGAACCTAAATATTTATGCAAAATGATGAATGTGGGGACATGAGTAACAAAGGCCATGTTTCCACAGGCTGCTTTCCATGCGGCTGCTTAAGAGCCCTTTGGTCTGGGGACCACGGTGTGCTGAGACCTGCGTGTGTTTTCCAGCTGGCAGACAGCCCGGTGCATGTCCGGGGACACACGTCTGGGGACACGCAGCCGGGGACACAGGCCGCCTGGCCCGCCAACCCCCTGCACCCTGCTGCTGCCTGGCCGGGCAGCCTCCTCTGCGCAGGGTGATGGGATGACAACCTCCCTGGGTGTCCCCGTGAGGTTATTCAAGCCCAGTGTCCACCATGCCCGTGGGAGCTGCTCAGCATCACTCCAGCCGCGCCACCCCCGCCATCACCTCCTGCTGATGCCCGGAGGGTCCCCAACTCCTGCTGCACCCTGAGACCCGCTCCAACACCTCACCTGTAAGCACGAGCCTCATGAGCGTGTCCCTGATGAAGGTGCTGTTGATAATGTCCCAAAACCACCTGAAGTGGGTCAGGATGAAGTGGTAGAAGGCAGGACTGGGCTTCAGCAGGTTGTGGAGGCGCGTCCAGAGCTCGGCTGGGGGAGACAGACCAGGCAAACCGCTCACCCCGCTAACGAAGCCTGCTAACGACCCCAGCCCACCCACGCTATCACTGCCGGTGAGAGCACGTGTTGCAGGTGCAGCATGTCACCCTAGGACCCACGGGTGCCACAGGTCCTCCAGGCAAGAGGGACTTACGGGAGGTGCAGTTGGCCCCGAAGTATCCCGTCCGCGTGCAGTCGCATTCGTATCCTCCCAGGCCGACCCTCACGCACACCCCTTGGTGCTGGCAGGGGAAATAACAACAGGGATCCACTGCGGAGAGAGAGAGAGATGTCACCATCCAGCCACAGTGTCACCGTGTCCGGTGGCTCCCTGCTGCTCGCAGGGTGACACTGACCCGGACACAGCCGAGCCGGGTCCAGCTCAGGGGGATGCACCCCGGGGCGGTCACCCTGAGACGAGGTGCTTTGATGCCAGCCACCTCCGTGAACCCAGCCCCCAAGTCTGGTGTCAACGACGTGCTGCGGGGAGACGGCAGACGGGTGCTGCAGGAGCCGAGCACGGTCCTGGCTATTGCAACATCATGCCTGCAGTAGATACCACCGCTCAGCTTTTCTTTTATCTCCCTGGTGAGATATTTTGGGCAGGAGCATCGCTTCGGCACCATCCCTCCTTCCTTGTGGAAGTTAGCCTCGTCTGAAACACCCAGGATTGCCAAAGGAACCATCCGCACCCCGCGGCCATGCACCGATGGGTGCTGCAAGCCCTGGCCCCAGCTCGGGCTGTTGCTGCCAAGCCCATGCCCTGCCCGGTGCCCCATGCGACCGCGGGGCCGTGTCACAGTGGTGTCCCACACAGCCGGGGCCATAGCCTCGTGCACGGGTGGCTGCTGTGCCCCCCCCGAGCCCCAGTGCAGGATAAAGCAATGTAAACACGGCACCAGTGTTAATAATAATGGCAATTGTCAGGGCTGAAGTTTGCTTTGGCAAGCGGCTCCTCCGCCCTCGCCGCTCCAAGCGGATGAAAAGGGCCAACCGCTGGGCTCCCACCCGGCCCCTTCCTCCGCCGCCTTTGTGCCCCCGCCTGCAGGCGTGAGATAAGGGCCCCTTCCTGCTGGCCACACTGCGGCGGGATCCCGTGGGACAGAGGGAGACCCCCCTCCGACATAAAGCAGCTCCCAGCTCTGGGGCAGCACTAGGCACCCATTGGCACCAAGCCCCTCCGACCCACCCTGAGGCGGGCAGCACTTTGTAACTTCACCATTTGCAGCCCCTCCAAGAGCCGCAAAACTCAAGGGAGAAAGGGAACCAAGAGCCGGGGTGGCCGGAGACCCCTCTGCCTTTCATCAGCCCGGGGACTGGGCTGGAAATTTGGATGTCGTCTGCCCCAGCTGCCTCCTGAAAGCCTCACTGGTGGCAACCTCAACTTCACCAAGCTGGGTCGGTCCCCGCAGACCTGGGATGGAGCCTTTGTGCCAGGAGAATACAAGTGCCAAGGGCCAAGACCTCCTGGAGCACACCCGGCTGAGGGTTTCGGTGCCCATTGGCAGGACGGCGGTCACCAGCCCCACTGGGACGCACAGCGCTCGGGGACAGGGGTGCCACGGACACCCAGTGCTCAGCTCCAGTGCCACCAGCTGTGGGGACGGGCAGCACGCCCTGAGCACCAGAAGGGACTGAGAGCCGTTCCCAGTGTGCCCAGTGTCACGGCTGCTGAAGGAAGGTCTCCCAGGTCTGTCGGCTGCTCTGTGTGGTCCGTGAGCTCACCAGACCCCTGCCAGACCTGGTTCAGATTCTTCTGGAATTTGGGAACAGGTTCCAACACTGGGGTGGAGGGACGGGCACGCAGAATAGAAACCATGTTTTTTCCACAGGAAATTAACATCTTTGAAAAATAAAGCTAATTTTGCAAAGTTGCTCAGTCTCCCAGCTGGCCACACGTGCAGGACAGGGGCTGCCTGGGAGCCCAGGGCTTGGCCGGCAGCTCTGCCCCGGCTGTGCTCAGCCCTGTGACCCCAAATCCCTCATGTCACGGGGGCCTACTTGCAAAGATGGATTCAGCTCCCAGCTCTTCTGTCAGACTCCCTTTCATCTCGGATCTTTTCATGTATCCAGACGGGAGGCAGCAGGCAGTTTCTTACTTATCTCAGAGAAATTAAGGTCAGACCACCCGTTCGTTTTTTTGCAAGATGGGAACTTTTGCAAAGGGGGCCATGTTGCAGCACAGCTGGAGCATCCTGGAGGCTATTCCTGCATCGGTAGCTCTGCACTCGACTCTGCCGTAAACTTTGCGAGCACCTCAGAAAGCAGCCCTGTGCCATGCCTGGTGCAACCCAGGGGGATGTGGGGCTGCCCGTGGGCACCGCAGCCACGGGGCCGGGAGGATGCTCCATGCCGCGGGCTCCGGCAAGGCAGGTCGTGTCCTGCCCCATCCCTCCTGCTGACGTGGGGAGTCAGAAGTTCACGTTAGCGGGGCCGCTTTGTCGGGGTTCTCCCCAGCACGGGGCTCGATGGCACGTCATGGCCAAGCACTCCTCCAAGGCAGGTTTGGCTGCGCGCTGGGCTTGGCCGAGCTGCCTCCTCCCACGGTTCACATCGGTGTCAGGGCCGCGGGGTCCCGGAGGTGGGGTGGGAGTGGCATGTTCCAGCCAAAAGGGTGGGAGGGGGACAGAGCGTGTCCTGGCCCGTGACAGCAACCCCTTTGTGTCCTTTCGGGAGCCTCCCTCCCGCAGTGGCTCTGTGCCTCTCCCCACCCCGGCCAGGAATTCCACACCGGCTCTGCCAGGACGGCTCCAGGTGTGGGGAAAGCTGCTGCCAGCCTCCACGCTGGAGCACGGCCCGCTCTGTGATGGCAGAGCTGGTGAACATGCTCCATCACTGCTGAAAAATGCCAGATTTTGGGGACAACATCCGCTCTGTGAACCGCAGTCAAAGCAACCTGGGGTGAATCACAGGCAGGCTGGAGCCGGGCTTGCTCGATGGCACACGGCTCCGCAGCCGCAGGCTTTGGAGACGATGAGAGCCTCATACACTTGTTTTTCTGATTCAGGGAGGTTTCTTCAGGCCCACGAGCTGTTCACAGCACACGCAGTACAGCCAGATTGTCATCTGCAACCACTTCTGGCGGCACCATGAGCAAGAGCAGCGTGCCAGGGCCGCAGCTGCACGCCACATGGGGTTCGGCAATTCTCCTCCCTGCACCTGAGCCAAGCTGCCGGCCCCAAGAACGGGCTGCGGGTGGGCAGCGGGCTGGCTGGAGTGGGTGATGCAGCCCCAGGGCTCTTGGAGTGGCAGCGGGCTCCCCTTTGCAGCCCGGGTTGAAGCTCCGTGAGCCCCGTTGCGGAGGGGCTGTGCTGGGAGGAGGCAGTTGACAGTGGGCTATGGAAACAGGCATGAATCAGAAGCGGCTCTGCCAGAGGTCCCTGCCTGCCCTTGCTCAGCAGGGTCTGTACCCCACCTGCCCCGTGGTTGGAGCTCGGGCAGACAGTGACGTTGAGGTGCTGCCGCATCTCCCGTCTGCCAGAGGGTGAGATGGCGCGAGCTGTGGAATAGCTGGGGAGAGGACGGGCAGGTTTATTTTGCAAAAACACTTGTACAAAACTACACCCCTGAAGGCAAGTCAACAGCCAAGGGCAATATCTGCAGGGGAAAACAGAGAAACACCATGGGACTAGCTTGGCTCTGCTCACAGCCAGAGGAAAAGCCTACAGAGAGCAAACATTGTGGCTTGGAGCCAAGGTGCAACCAGCAAGGAGTCAAGTAGAAGTGCTCTAAGCAGCAAACACCAAGTGAGCAGGCGATCCCAGCCTCGGCCCAACATCCTGTTATTTGGTCTTCGAGAGCAGATCCGAGGGCAAGATTAGGGCTGTGGTCCTCCTGGCTCAGTGCTGCAGAGGAGCAGGAGCCCGGCTGCTCTGCTGACAGCACCTTGGGGCACAACGCAGTTCCCCTAATTTCTCAATCAGATAACTTCCCTCCTTAATTAAGGCTTGGAAGAGAGCTGTTCTGTCATGTATATCCCAGGTATCTTTTTTTTTTCCCCCACGTAGTGAAATTTGCTTTGATCCTGGCATGCAGCAGTCAGCTCCAGGGGTTCGTCACAGTTGCACCATCCCAGCGTGCGTCTGTCCCAGCTGCTTCAGGCATGTGGGTCCCCAGGCCCTGTCCTGTGCCCGGCAGGAAAAACGGATGCTGCTCCTGGCTGTCCTCAGCCCCCAGGAGGAGCTTCCCAGGGAGATGACACCTGAGCTGGGAGATGGCCAAGCCAGAGGAGGGACTGCACAGAGGCTGTCCCTTGCTTGTCCCCACCACCCACGGTCCAGCCCAGCGGGTGACAACCAGGTCCCTCCCATGGGATCCCTCCTGTCGTGCAGATGTGCCTGACAGGCCCCCGCAGCAGGGTGCCTGCTGCAGCGCTCGCTCCTGCTGCTCCTGCTCTGTCCCTCCAGCCCGAGGCCAAGAAGCCCAGAGGGCTGCAGGGTGGCTTGGCCATGCTGGGGGCACCCAGCCAGCCCCACTGTCCCCAGCAAGTGGACCTGCCACCTCCTGCCAGGTCGCACCCCGACTCCTGGAGTCCCCTGCAGAGCAGGCACAGCCGCAGCCTCAGAGCAAACCCCGGGTCGTGTTCCCCTTTTGGACACATACGCTACCAAAACGGGGAAGTCCCCACCTCAGGGTCATTGCTTTTGCACAGGGCAAGCCGCTCCAGGACAGGGAAGTCTCCCCTCTCCCAGCAGGATGGCTGCGGGGAAGAGGCACGGGCGGTGCGGAGGGCAACATGCCGCGCTGCAGCACCCGGCTCTGCCTGCTCAGCCCAAACCTGCTCGGTTCAGGTCGCTTCTCCCGCAGTCCCGCTCCCCCTGCAACGGGGGGGTGCCTGGTCAGCTCCGCATGTTCAGCCTGTGCAAATTTTGGGAGGTCGTAGGTTTGGACACGTTGCTTCCCACAGCGATGGGTAAACCCAGGCAGGCTGCTGGAGATGGGGTCACCATCAGCCACCGTTTGCAACACGGGCAGCCAGAGCCCCGCTGAGGGATGCAGCCCGGGTGCCCGGGCTGGTTTTGCTGAGAACATTACTTTAGTAAGGAACTGTAAAACCTGAAAAGCGCCACGAGCTTCACGCTGGGGTGGTGTTTTTCTGCAGTGAGGAAGGTCATTTCACAGAAGAGGGCCTGGAGTCAATGCTCTATTAAGGACCTGGAGGAAACCGCACTGTAGGGGCTGCGGATGGAGCTGATGGGATTTGAGATGTGGTTTTATTTCACAACATGCTCTGTGGATGCCTGCCATAAGCAGCGTGACTCCTTGACATCCTTGCACAGGCAGCCCGAGCCCACCGCGG